CATGATTCTTCAACAGGAAATATGCTTAGCCATCTTTGGTCTAAGCATCGAATTGATAAAGACCATCCTGAGGGAACCAACACTAATGACTCAATTATCAAGGCTATGCATATTATTACAAAGCGGAGACAAGAAAAAATAGCGTAATTATTAGTTAAATTTATAATCGAGGATTGTTAACCTTTTCATATTTTACAAAGTAAAGCTTTTCGTCGACTTTTAAACTATATGGAGCCCCGAATTTCAAATTCCTTATGAAAAAACTGTGAAAAAAATGATTGATAAGGCTTATAATTGGAGTCGTGATCAATTATTTGGTATAATAAATATAGATGGCAGATATGTTAATCTGATGACAGATTTATGGAGCTCAAAAACCAATCAAGCATATATTGGGGTCACAGTAACATGGATCAATTCAAATTTTGAATTAAAAGAAGCTTTATTAACAATACAACTACTTCCATCACCACATACAGCTGAAGCTATTGAAGATTCCCTAAATCAAGTTATTACTAATTGGGGACTCACTGGGTGAGTTTTTTGCATTACGACTGACAATGGGGCTAATATTAAAAAGGTAATTAGTTTAATGGATAATATTACATGATCATCTTGTTTAGCCCATACACTTCAACTGAGTGTGCTAAAAGGTCTTAAACGCGCGGTACAACTTATTAAGCAGCAAAAAATTTAATTCTTTTTTTTTCTCAAAGCCCTAAGCAATCTGAATGACTTATAGATGCACAAGAAAAATGTAGATATCCAAAGATTTATCAAACAATCGATGATGTGCCAACAAGATGGAACTCCTCATACTTGGCTTGGGTCCAGCTTAAAGAACTACAAAAAGCAATTGATTATCTTGTTTTAATGTTGCCTTCAGAATCAAAACGCTGTGACAGACTTGACGGCGAATATTTAAAATTAATAAATCTAACTAAAACTGAATGGCGATTGTTAGATAATCTTATTTCATTATTAAAGCCATTCTATGAGGCCACTAATATATTTTCTGGTTCAAACTATCCTACTCTTAACCTTATTTATCCAACAATGAGATTGCTTATTAAGAAGTTTGCACCTTCTTATGAACAAAGCAAAGATGACTATGCCGATTTATTATTTGAACCTATTAATAGGCATGTTAAAAAATTTTTTATTAAAAATAAAAATGTTTTTTAAAATCAGATACAGTATAGAGTTAATATCTGAATCCGGATTTAATAATTAAATCTGGATAATTACAGCTGTTCTCATAAATTCTAGAACACCTAAAAATTTATTCGTTTTCCAAAATCTCTTCGGTTTCATTCTGTGAATTATCTAACCCTTTGGAAACTACATTGCTGTCTCCGGACTGAAGTTCTGAAGATAGCGATGTAGTTTCTGAAGAGTTAGATGATTCATAGAACAAAACCGAAGAGATTTCGGGAAACGAATAAATTTTTAGGTGTCCCAGAATTTATGAGAACAGCTGTAAATCTGAATTTAATAATTAATATTAAATATTAAATATTAAATCCGGATTTATATTAGTACGGTATATACTATACATATGAGTTTCAATCATACCCAATCATAGCAAATTTAAACATTAACTCCGAATTCAGGTATTAACTCTAGTACAGTAGTCAGTTCAATTCTCTTCATAATTTTTGATTCATAAATAGACAGATTAGTAATTAACTTAAAAACTGTATGGCTTTAGACGATTTTCTTTCTGATATAATATTTATTATAATATCTTATTATTATTTATTTTAGCTAAAGCCAATTAATCGAGGAAGATGATCCTGAATCTGATATAGAAAATAAATTTGATACACTAGTGAGTTCGGAACAACTTCAACAACCATTACAAGCAGCACAAGGACGAAGAAACAAACATGACCATAGCAAAGTCAAAAAAAGTACATATAATGATTCACGATTTAAAGGTCGTCAGTTAATTGAAACACCTATTACTAATGAAGGTTTATGTGATCTGGTTAAGGCTGCATGTTTCCTTTCTCTTAAAGAATATTGGGAGGTTCCTAAGAAAATTGGGCTTGTAGCATCGTTTTTGGACCCACGAATTAAAAGTTTGAAATTTCTTGGTGATAAAACAATAAAGGCGACAACAATTGATACAGTACGAACACTTTGTATTGAGGAAGATAATCATCAACCTTCAGTTAGGCTTGATGAGCTATTTAAAACTCCAGATCGTGAACCTGCAACAACTAATAGCTTAATTGCAGCTTTATATAGTAATGAAGAATTGAATAATGAAATTTATAATGAGACCAAAGTTGATTGTTATCTTCGTGAACCTATTGAGAAAAGGGGCTGTGATCCATTAACATGGTAGAAAGATAGATCTGAAAAATATCCTGTGTTATCACACCTGGCTCGGAAATATCTTTTGGTACCAGCAACATCAGTTCCTTCAGAGCGATTATTCTCTGATGCTGGACTACATATCACTGCATTGCGTAACAGGCTTCATCCTGATATAGTCGAGCAAATGATGTTTCTCAAACGCAACATGCAGCACTTTCCTATTTTCAAGCTGGATGAATGATGCCAACTAAAAATGGTTAATAAATTGAA